CGCTACTTTACTTGCATTTTTGGTCACACACCATAAGTTTCAAGATATATATACACACACACACCCCCCCTTTGGGTTTTCTTCTATTTTTTTTTCTAGTATTGTTCTTGTTTATTTCCTCTTACCCCCATGGGAAGTGGAAAAAATTCTTCCTCCCTAACCATGCGTGTTGTAAGAGGCGACTAAAAGGGGGGGAGCAGGGGGGTAGTAACCCCTTTCCTGTTTTATTACTAAATTTAAAAAAAGAAACTTAGTTTTTTCTTTTTGGGCACCCTGCCCTCGGTGGGATACGGGTTTTTTGTGAAAAAAAAGATAATAATATATAATTATTATTTTAAATATATATATATATATATTTAGGGATTTGGTTGGTAAACAGCAACCACCCGGGAGGTACTAACCCCTCCTGCCAAATGAGTGTTAAACGAAAACCTGTAATTGTTTTACTGATTGGATTGTGGTTCCCTTTTTTTTGTCTCATGAACAGCAAAATTTTAGGGACTCTGCTACTTTACTTACACTTAGGTCACACACACACATGACAAGCACATATATCACACCCCCTGGGTTTTCTTTATTTTCTTTCTAGTTCTTATTCTTGTTTTTTTTTCCTCTTTTCTCCAGGGGGGAAATGGGAACAGAATTCTTTCCGTAAAAACCATGCGTTTTGTAAGAGGCAACTAAAAAATTTGCCCGGGAGCAAGGGGCTAGTAAACCCCTTCTCCCGTATAATTTCTAAAAAGAAAAGGAGAAACTTTCTTTTTCCTTTTGGGCCACCCCCCCCCCCCCCCCCCCCCCCCCCCCCCCCCCCCCCCCCCCCCCCCCCCGGTGGGATACGGCCCGGTTGGTTGGAAAGAAAAAAATTTTATAATATATAATATATATATATTATTATTTAAAAATTTATTATATATATATATAAATATATATAATATTTTTTTTTTATTTTTTATTTTTTTTATAACGGGCCCATTCCCACCAAAACAGGGGGGCCCAAAAAAAAAAAAACTTTCACATCATTCATCCTCCTGTCTTGCCAAAGGGTGCTTTACACTACAGTTTTTTAAAATGCAACATTAACACCCCTCTTTAGGTGCAGGGACTGTAAATTTTCCCCCTCCAGGACTCAAGTCCGGCCCGCCGGTTTCCCCGAAACCCTTCATAAATGTTATTTGTCAACTCCAAAAGCCGTCAATTATTTTTAAAAAACCTTTTTCTCATTTACTCCCATCAAAAGCCATCATGCCTGCGGAAGTCCAAGCCCTCCACACAAAACCTCCTTTTAAACCCCCTCCAACCCCTTCCCAGGCCACCCTACCCCGCCTTCCTTCCATTTACATTTGAAGGGGTTTTTGTTTCGTCCATTCTCTCTACATGTCCGAAACCTCAACAACCCCTTCCCGCCCCTGGACAACAGTTTTGGTAATCCCCCACCTCCCCTAAATTCCAAACAAAGAAAAATTTTTTGCATTATATCCACCCCATTGCCCTCGACATGACATCTCCACTGCCTCCAGCCTTCTCCTCCTGCCAACATTCTCACCCCGCTTTTACACCCCTATAAGGGTGGTAAAACTATACTCTCAACATTCCCCTTTGCCCCCAGGACAAAGTTCTTTGCCCAAAACTCCTAAGTGCCCCCTACCTTTTTTTCCCCCATCTTCTTGATTCACCTCATCTTTTATAGACCCCTCCCCTGACCGTCCCCTCCCAAAATCTGAATCGTCACCTCCCCATACTCCTCCCCCCAATCTGATATTCTTTCATCACCTAAAACTTTTTTTTATCCCTAACCTTACTCTTTCCTGTATTCACCCTTTAATTTTTTCTTTTGCACCCTACCAAAAAATTTACCCCCAATTCTGCAACTTCTTTCAGAATCTCCCCAAAAGGGACGGTCATCAGAAGAGAGCTTTGACAACTCCCCCCTTTTTGGTTGATTCTTTATTTTTAACTCACCCTCTTTCCAAAACCCCCGCATTTACTTTTTCTACAACCCCCTCTATAAAATATTAAAAAACCCGGTGACATCACACATCCTTTTCTAAGGCCTACTTTTACTGGGAAAAAATTTTCCCCTTTCCTACATACTCTAAATTGAGCCCCACTATCCTCGTAAAAAATTTCATGCTTTCAGTAAACCCACCCCCACACCTACACTTTTCAACATCTGCCACATTGCCCCCCCATCCACCCTGTCTACCCTTTTCCCCAAACCATAAATGCCCCAAAGACCTCTTTAGGCCCTTTTCTAAAAATTTTTTACTTTTTGTTTCACGTAAACACCCGGCCCACACCCCCCCCTTTCCCAAAGCCTCCTTGTTCATCTGCTATCTATTCTCCCTCTTACCTTAATTCTTTCAATTATAACTCTCCTACACTTTACCAGGGACACTCAACAGACTTACCCCCCTTTAAATTTTTTCACTCTTTTTATCCCCTTTGCCTTTATACAAAGGAATATGCATGCTCTCTGCCAATCCCTAGGTACCTTAAACCCCCTTTCCCTAATTTATTAAACAATTTCACCAACCCCTCCAAAAACTATATCCCCACTGCTTTTAACATTTCTATCTTTTCCAACAATCCCCGGTGCCTTACCCCCTTCTTTTACCATGCCCCACGAACTTCCCCCACATCACAACTGGCTTTCCCCATCCTAAAGATGTTTTTCTCCTTGCCCTTAAGAAAACAAGTTCCCTATTTTTTCATCAACAATTTTAAAAATTCCCAAAATTTCCTTCCATCTTCCCCTACCCCTTTAAATCCCATTTAAAAACTCCCTCTCCTATTTTTTAACTGACCAATCCATTTGTTCTCTAGGCTTTCTTAAATTTTTAAACTCCTCCAAAAAATTTTTCTTTTTTTCAACAAAATTTTTTGATAAAACTCACCCACTCTTCTTTGCTCTCTTTTTACATTGCTTCCCACTCTCTTAACCTCTCTCTTTTTCTCCAATACTTTCCCCCCTTTCACATTCTACTTTGTAAAAAAATTCCATATGTAACTTTTTCTCCTTACTACTCTTTTTCATCATCATTCCCCCAATCGCTCCTTTCCCCCCTGCAAACCCCTTTTTGTAACCACAATTGTGAACACTCTAACACTACATTTTTTAAAAAACCCACCCCAACCCTTCGACCCATTGCCTATGCTCTATTTGCCCATCTTCCTAATAGTGTTTATTTTTACCCTAACTCCTCCTCTTTTAGTTTATAAACCTTACCTCTCCTTCCCAGCTTTTATTCTCCTGTTCCCATCTACCCCTTTTACTCTCATGTGCTACAAAAGAAAGTGATCTGATTTAATTTTGGCCCCTCTTTTAAAAAATTTTTTACATCCTGAAGTCTACTCAAAAAGTCTTTTTTTTTCCAAAAACATAATCCAACAAACACTGTATTTCCCCCACATATATCGTGTATATTATTTTCCCCTTTTTCTTAAAAATGATTACCAACTAAACCCCCTTTTTATACAAGTTCAAACAAAAAGGGTCCCATTTTCATTTACACCTGGCACCCCCAAACTTACCCACCACACCCTCTCTAAAAATTTCTCCACTTTTGCTTTTAAGTCCCCTACCCCAATTCTCTCTCACTTGGTAAGTCATACATTCACTTAACATCTCCCAAAAAACTCTCTCTCACCCCTGCATTCCCTCTCTTCTCAGGTGCATACAGCTTTTTATGACCACTTCTCGATCCAACCTTTATTTTTTCCCCATAATTCTTGAATTTAAACCCCTTCATATTTCTTTTTCCTTCCCCCAAATGATCATTTAACTTACTGCTACCCCCTTTCCTTTTTGCTTAACTCTTCGTTTCTCCAGTTTAAACCCATTTATTTTCCCCCACTGAAACTCTCCTACCCCTTCACTTTGTTTCGCTTTGGGCCAGGACATCCAACTTCTTTTCATTAAAACATCAGCATCTCTGTTTCTTTTTCACCGCACTACATCCAAGCACATTTAAGCAACCAGTTTTATAAAATTTTTCTTCTTCTCTTTTTTAGTAATTGTATACAGGAGAAGGGGTTACTAGCCCCTTGCCCCCGGGATTTTAGGCGGGGTATACGAACGCGGCTTCGGAGGAAAGATTCTTTTTCCCCTTCCCTGGACAATAGAAAAATAAAAAGAACAGGCTTTTAGAAAAGGAGGGAAAAAATAGATGTATGTATTATATATAGATGGGTGTCTGTGAAGTGGACCCAAAATGTTGTAGGAGTAGCAAGAACCCCGTTATCTTAGGTGTTTATGGGAAAAGAAAAAGAAACCCGCAAACCTCCATCTCAAAACAATTACAGGTTTTGTTTCCAGTATCTGGAGGACGGTAGTACTTCCCTGGGTGGTTGCGTCTACCAAACCCACTACCATATTATATATAAATATATATTATATATAAATAATATATTATATATATATTTTAATATTTATATATATATTATATATATATATATTATATATATTATATATTTTATATATTTATATAATAATATATATTTTTTTTTTAAATAATTATTATTAAAATTTAATTATTATAATATTTATATTTAAAAATTTTATAATTTTAGATAATTAAAAATTTTATATTTTTTATAAATTATTATTTATAATATTTTTAAAAATTTTTTTTTTTAAATTGTTTTTAATTAATTATTTTAAAAAAAATAATTATATATATTTAATTTATATAATTAATAAAAAAAAAATAATAATTTTTAAAATTTTAAAATTTATAAATTAATTTAAAAAATAATTTTTAAAATTTTTTGTTAATTATTAATTTCTCATTTAAAAAATTTTTAATTGTTTTGGGTACAAAAATATTGGGGCCCTTTTAAACTGTTTTTTGTTTGAGTGACCAGTTATAATTTTTTTAAATACCTTCACATTCTGAATTTTTTAATATTAATTAAAAGAGGCCATCAAACTTTAATACATGAATATAAGCTGGGATGTAGACTGTATTTATTTACTTATTTATTTATTCTCTTTAATAAAGATCTGTTGAAAGTGCTCTGCGAGAAACAGCAATGAGCGGAGTTCACCTGGTAGTCTCGGTGACAGACCCGTCTGAAGATATAATGGATCTCTTGCAAGGGTATCCACTCAAGATTCACGTTGTTAATAATCCTCATAAAAATTCCTTCAGGTCAGAAGGTGTCAGATTTCTAAGAAAACTCATTCCAAGATTTTCACTTTTGGAAAATTTCAAGAATATTATTGATGAATTTTCTGGCACAAATGTTTGCATGAAAGATACAATAAGTCCGGTAATAAATATTTTAAACACCGGACCGAACCTCACAGAAACGACGAAGTACCAACCAACTATGAAGGAATTACAAGAAAAGAAAGGAGGAGTTCCATATGAAGAACATCCTTATAATCCAATATATCGAAAAGCAGTAATTAACTCAAGAAATGAACGTACAGGAACGGCAACCGAGGGTATGAGTGTAGACCAACTAGTACAGAATGGAAGAGGACTTCAAGAGGAGAGTCATTCACAGTGCCAGAGGAGCAAAAACTTAAAAGACGCTCTTCAGTTTGTAAAAACTACATTTCCTGAGTTACAGTACCTTATGCTACTAGAGACCGGCTATACTCTCTCGCCCAACTTTGTCAGGTAAATGCGACAATATTTCTGAAAACTCATTGTAATAAAAGTCATTATTTTCAGCAACTGTCCTATCCTATCCTTACAAAGTACTGTAATCATAAGAACATAGGAAAGAAGGAACACTGCAGCAGGCCTACTGGCCCATACTAGGAAGGTTTTTCCTCAAACTAAACCCACTAATAAATTATTTGTCCATTTTCAATGCTACCCAAGCAATAAGCTTTGATAACCGTTTTAACTCACATGTAAGTCCTGCTTAAATCCAACCCCTCTTACCCATGGATTTATCCAACCTACATTTGAAGCTACCCAAGGTTTCAGCTTCAATAACCCTACTGGGTAGACTGTACCACTTATCGATGACTATATTTCCAAACCAATACTTTCCTATATCCTTTCTAAATCTGAACTTACCCAATTTGAATCCATTACTACAAATAACCCGCACATGGAGGGAGAAGCTTATGACGATATTTCGGTCCGACTTAGACCATTTACAAAGTCCAAGTCGGACCGAAACATCATCATAAGCTTCTCTTTAATATGTAAAGGTTATTTGTGTATTGTTCCAGCCATGGTATTGCCCCTTATTGTGCTTTACTATAATCATAAATTATTTTCCGTAACTATCCTATCCTTATAAAATACAGTAATCTTAAATTATCAATTGAATTTCTTGCTATTTTAGATTTGTTTTCATCTCGTCTCCACATTTATTTCGTATAAGCTTATTTTAATCAGATATTATAAAAAAATGTACAGGCAGCTAACTAGATGTATTCATACCAAAATAGACTAAATCATTATGGAAACTTAGACAAAATTTAATACTCTATTGCTGCAAAATGAATTCGTTTTATGATTAACCTTTTATTCCAGTTATTTCAAGCAAACACTTGAAGCTATGCAGGAAGATCCATCTATCTACTGTATTTCTGCCCACAACCCTCTAGCCTCACCCTTGACATCCGGAGATATTACCAGAGTGTATCGTTATGATCACTTTGTTGCTAAAGCAACTTTAATTCCCTCAAAAGTTCTGAGTGAAATTTTGAAAGATTTTGTGATTTATGAAGAGACATTACCAGTAAATAAGTCGGCTTTGGTGAGTACTCTGTTGTAAATTATCTTTCGAGCTCTTGTTATACAGTGGACCCCCAGTTTACGATCAGCTCCCAATGCGACCAATTATGTAAGTGTATTTATGTAAATGCGTTTGTATGTGTATGTTTGGGGGTCTGAAATGGACTAGTCTACTTCACAATATTCCTTATGGGAACAAATTCGGTCAGTACCGGCACCTGAACATACTTCTGGAATGAAATAATATCGTAAACCGGGGCTCCACTGTATATGTGATAAAGCTATGTAGGCCTTCTCCTTACCTAATAATAATTCTTTTTTGATGGCACTTCCACTGCAGTGAAACTTGATGGTGTATTCTATCCTTTTCACCTTCCCATCATTTCTGTCTTTCCCTTTTGTTTCTGGGTTGTTTTGTCTTTGAAGTTTCTTCACCCCCCTCTCCCACCTCCTTTTTTCTAACACTGGCCATTTCCCACTGAGGCAGGGTGACTCAGAAAAGAAGAAACACTTCCATCATCACTCACTCCATTACTGTCTTGCCAGAGGCGTGTCAATACTACAGTTAAAAAAATGCAATATCTCTCCGCCCCTCCTTCAGAGCGTAGGCACTGCACTTCCCACCTCCAGAACTCAAGTCTGGCTAACCAGGTTCCCTGAATCCTTCATAAATGTTATCTTGTTCACACTCCAACAGCACATCAAGTATTAAAAATCACTTGCGTCCACTCACTAACACATTCACACACACTTGCTGGATGTCTAAGCCCCTTGCACCCAAAACTTCTTTTACCCCATTCTTCTAACCTTTCCTAGGACAATCTCTACCCCACTTTTTCTTCCACTACAGATTTATATGCCCTCCACATCATCCTATTTTATTTCATCCTCTCTAAATGTCTGAACTACCTCAACAACCCTTCCTCATCCCTCTGAATAATATTTTTAGTAACCCAGCATTTCCTCCTAATCTCCAAGCTACAAATTCTCTGCATAATATTCACGCTACACATTGCCCTCAGACACATCTCCACTGTCTCCAGCCTCCTCCTCGCTGCAATGAGGAGGATTGGAGATTGAGCCTCCAGTCATCCTTCTGCTGAATAATCTACTGTACTTGGATTTAGCATTTCATACAAAGTGTAAAGTACAGGTGCTCCTTGACTTACAGTGGTTCAACTTACGATATATCAATGGTGCAAAAGCAGTTACTTTAGAGATAAAACTTAATTACCCAGCATGAAGGCTGGAAGTCCATAACTTGTAATCATTTATTTTACTTTTTAATACTAGTATTTAGTTAGTAGATTATTTGGGCCGCGGGGGCATTGACCCCCGAAACTCTCTCCAGGTAAACTCCAGGTAAATAAATGTCGTGCTATTCATATTCGCCTTACGATGAGTTTCTCGGAACATAACTCCATTGTAAATTGAGGAGCACCTGTATTGCACTGCTAAAGAAAATTCTGTAAATTCTATTGTACTGTACTGCCTGCAGGAATCCTTGGAGACGTGGCTGTCTTGGTGGAGCCGACGAAGAAGACGTGGATGTGTTGTGCCAGATGTGCCCAGGATATGTTACCTGCATGATGCATATGTTGATGATAAGTCTAAGGAGATGAAGGTATCACACAAGAATCATCCTATTTGCCTTCAAGAATCTCAAGTACTTCTTGTAAATACCTCTAGGTTAGTTTATATATATATATATATATATATATATATATATATATATATATATATATATATGTTATACTTAATATATCTCTTTAATAATCTTTCTTTCTTTCAACACATCGGCCATATCCCACTGAGGCAGGGTGGCCCAAAAGGAAAAGCGAAAGTTTCTCCTTTTACATTTAATAATATATACAGGAGAAGGGGTTACTAGCCCCTTGCTCCTATCTTTAATAATATATATATGTAATGTTTATAATGAAAATAATCACATTGAACTTTTTTAATCTTTATCAAAATTATGTTTATGAAAGTAGTGTTATACTTCAGACATTCCCTTGGTGCACTATCCTTTTTATATAGCTTAGTATGTTTTTCATGCAATTGCATTTATGCAACTTATACTTGTCTTGACATCCACTTGATGAAGCAGGATTTAAGAGAGCAAAATGATCATAGAGATTATAATTTCATGACTTGTGACCCTGGGAAGCCTCTCTGTCATCCCATCTTTTAGAGAAATAGTAATATGAGGTAGAATTCATCTTCATAGTTCCTCAGTGTTTTGTTACACATCGGCTGTTTCCCACCAAGGCAAGGTGACCCGAAAAAGAAGAAACACTTTCATCATCATTCACTCCATCACTGTCTTGCCAGAGGCATGCCAGTACTACAGTTCAAAAATATCGGCATGCCTCTGGCAAGACAGTGATGGAGTGAGTGATGAAAGTGTTTCTTGTTTTGAGTGGTAAAACAACCAATGTTTTAAAAAAAATGTAAAAATACTTGGGAAATTGTGCAAAATGAATTCTGCCAGGTACTAGTCTGAATATGCTACACTTATTTTAGGAATTAACAATTGGTTGGTCTTGCATCATTGACGTGTAGCAGTAGGGTTAACGTAAACCTTTTAAGATGATCACAAACAGCAACAAATAGTGCGGAACGAAGTTGTTTGCTACGTGCTTCCTCTTCCTGGAATAACCCTACTTTGCAATTATTGATGCACAGGGTTGCAAGAATCATGGAGCTGCTGCCATCTCTGGACAGTGTCTTACAGCTTTCAACATTTAATTAACTGAAAATTAATTTGACTGCTAGTAGTATGCTGCCTGATAGGTGACCTTTAGTTATGCATGCAGAAAGCCCATAGTTATGCAGAGCATTTCAGGCCAACATAAGCCTAACTTAGCACTAAAATGGCAATGACTAATTAATTGCTTATATATAAATACATCATGGATTCATAAACAATAAATTTAGGAATTACGAATTGTTGTTATTCCTTGAAATTGTGATTTAATGTCACAAAAATTTGAAATTTGATTCCTTTCATAATGGTTAAATTACTGATCAAGCTATCACTTGTTTCTTATGACTTTGTTACCATTTTTTTTTTTTGTTAGTGCACTGGCCGTCTCCCACCGAGACAGCGTGACCTAAAAAGAAAAACGAAAGTTTTCTTTTTACACGTAGTGATTTATACAGTAAGAGTTACTAGTCCCTTGCTCTCAACTTTGTTACTACATATTAAACAATTTTGTTTCAGGTTGCTTCACTATAAATATAGTCAAGACCTCTTTAACACCATCAGTGCAGCAGAGCCACTTGGTAGCAGTATCATTGACTGTAATGATCCCAATTTCTTCCCACAAAACATGGTAAAGTATTGCCAGATTTTTAACATTATATAAATCAAAACCTGCTGAGCCTTGCAGAAGGTTCAAAAGGTTTTTTAATTTTTAAAACTGGTTGGGTTGTCATAATATTGGTAGATATGTTCATGAACATGACTAAATCTTTATGTACAGGAAGTCCTCAACCTAAGTAGCAGGGAAAGACTTATTAGTATAATGAAAGAAAGCACTAAACAGGGAAAGACTTATTAATTGTAATACAGTGTACCTAGTTATATTGAAGGGCTAGTAACCCCTTCTCCTGTATACATTACTTAAGTTATGAAGGGAAACTTTTGTTTTTTTTTTGGGGCCACCCTGCCTCGGTGGGATATGGCTGGTTTGTTGAAAGAAGAATGAAGTTATATTGAACTGTTGAGGGCACAGCTGCTTTGATTCTGTCATAAGAATTGATCATGCTTATGGCAGGGCTGTGGCATCGGAGTCGAAAGCAATTCTTGGGTTACTGGAGTTGGAGTCGGTAAAATGTGATTAAAGGAGTCCGAGTTGCAATAAATAAAGGAGTCAGAGTTGAAGGTTTTATGTGCCAACTCCAGAGCCCTGGCTTTTGGAAAGATGCAAATTGTGTTAACCCTGCATTTCAGTTATACAACACCTGGTCAAGAAGTGTAGATTTTAAGATTACATTTATTTGTTGGAGTGGCAGGTGGTTGTCTGATTAATGTGGTCAGTGGTTGAGGTGTGTTGGCTCAGGACACTACACAACCCAGCATGCAAAAACCCTTGCCACTGCCTTCCTACACACACCTGATGCTCTCATAACAGCAAGAGAGCATAGTTTTGTATCAGATACAACAGAAGAGAGGAAGTCACTTTTGCTACTGCCTGACTCCATCCTTCCTCTCTTCACCACTAAAGAAGAAAAAGTATGCAAGAAAGGGAGAGTGTTAATGGAGCAGGAGAGGAAAGGAGAGAGAGAGAGAGAGAGGGAAGGACTTATCTGAGAACTGTGTATTGCTTTCAATTTCATTGGATTATTATTATTATTATAATCAAGGGGGAAGCGCTAAACCCGGAGGATTATACAGCACAATTTCATTGGAAAAATAAATTAAATTAGAGATGTAATATAGGTAGTAGGTTGGTAGACAGCAACCACCCAGGGAAGTACTACCGTCCTGCCAGATGACTGTGAAACAAAAACCTGTAACTGTTTTGCATGATGGTAGGATTGCTGGTTTCTTTTTCTGTCTCATAAACACGCTAAGATAACAGGGATATCTTGCTACTCCTACTTACACTTTGGTCACACTTCACAGACACGCACATGCATATATATATATACATACATCTAGGTTTTTTTCCTTTTTCTAAATAGCT